AGACAAATTATGGTGACAAGTTGAGGTGACAAATTAAGGTAAAGTTTAAAACATTGAAATGATTTAGAAAAGATAAAATAAAATGGAAGAGAAAAAAAACAGATGAAATGGGTAAAAATTTTTGAAGTAATTAAAAGGTAAAAAGAAGAAAAAGAAGGAGAAAATGGGTAAGAATAGAAGAAAAAGATCGAAGATTATTCATTCGTTCAGCAATTTCATTCATTCTTCCTAAATTTATAATTTTACCTCCCAAACAAAAATGAATTATTCAATTTTATTGTGGTGAAATTTTTTTTTTTTTCCTTTTTCATCCTCTTTTTTTCTACTACTTTTATCATTTTTATCTAATTTTTTTTTCCTCCTCATTTTATCCTCCTAGCATTAATTAATTAATTAATTAATTAATTAACTGGATGCTTTATAAAGGTTAATAAGCTTTTTTAAAAAAATCTAAGCAAAAAATCTAAATGAAATGTGTTCAATGAATATTTTGTTATCATTGAAATTTTAACAAGAAGTGTAGCATTCTAATTAACTAATTCAAAAAATGAATATGACTAAAGGATGCTTTAAAAAATAATTTCAATTGACAATCATTTTAAAGTACTAAAATCCTAATTTGTTAATTAATTAATTAATTGGATACTTAAAAAAAAATTATCAGTGTATTATTTTAAATGGCGAGAAAAAAATTATCTATTTGATATTATTTAACTACAATTTAAAAGGAAGAAGGAGAGAGAGAGAGAGAGAGAGAGAGAGGGAGACAAAAGGATTCAATTAAAATATGTTTTTGTTTAATAAACTGTCCTACTAAGGAAGTAATTAATTAATGATAAGAGATAAATCAATATTAAAAATCAGTGATAATAATAGAAAAATTCGCAGCAAAGCAGAAGCTTATTATCATTGAAATTTTGATAAATAATGTGAAATATTACTTAACTAGCTCATATCACGAATATATGACATAATTAATCAATAAATGATTAATTCATCCTTGATAGATCATTCTAAAATACCTGAGAAAATAATCTTTAAATTAGCCTAAATTAAATTAATATGTAACTATGACTGCTTATTAGTATCTAATCAAAATAAGAAAATCAAAGGTAACAAGTAAATCAGTTATTAAATACAATTATTGAAGTGCTAATTATGAATGCAATTATTAATTATATAATTAACTAATAAACATTAATTACATTTTGCTCTATATCGACTATTTCAAAATAAAAAGCAACAAAAAAACTCAAAGTATCGAAATTTTAAAGTATAATTTCAAATTTTTGATTACTGAAATAATTTCAGCAAATAAAGATGAAACTTCGCAATTCTCTAATTAATATGTTGGGTGAATTTATTGGTCTTCATAAAACACCTGATTTCAAATTAAATGCTCAATCATCACAAGCTATCATTGAAGCAGTAGCTGCAGAAACACGACGTTATTCGTTATCAATGAATTATTCCACAACAGATAATAATGTTAATTTTTTTTTTTCTTAAAATATAATTAAGAAAAAAATTTCAACTTAAATTTAAAATTTTATAATCATATTATTATTATTATTATTGTTATTATTAATTTAATTAATTATTTATTTGTTATTATTATTACAAATCACTAACATTAGCAAAATTTTATTTTACCGTAATTATCTATGATTACTACAGGAATACGCAGTAGTGCATCAACGATCATTCTCGACAAACAGTGCACATGATGGAAACGATCTGGTAAGCATGGATCCATCATGTCGCCGTCTTTCAGAGCCTACGTCATTGCCGTCATTTACGCCACCCAGAAAACGTCATGTTGAGCAACGATTACTCTTACATTCTCGTTAGTTAGTATTGTATTCAATTTCATATTCATTAAACTATTAAATCTAAGATATCACTGATAACGATCAATCATTTAATTGCATTTATCGCATATTATCATAATTATCTAAATTTTTTAAGTTTTATAGATTATTATAATCATTAAAATTTTCATTGCTTTGTTTCTATAATAATAAATAAATAATTAAACTATAATAAAAATCTAAGGATAATTGTAATAGTTGTGTATTTCATAGAAAAAAAAATATCAGTTAGTTGATACTAATGAAAATATTAAAAATCGTCCTTCTTTTTAAAAAAAAAATGAATTTCTACAAAAAAATTAAGAAAATAAAAATTTTTATTAAGCAAAGAATTTAAAAATAAATGATTTAAAAAAAAAGAAAGGAGACAATTAATAATCAATCATTAATTACATGAATTTAAAAAGTTTTAACTCAATTTTACCAGCAATTTTTTTATTATAGTTTAATTATTATTGTAAGGGGATTTGTTGTACTTAATTGCATTAATTGTAAGGGGATTTGTTGTACTTAATTGCATTAATTTTTTAAAGTATTTTTAATTTAAAATATTTGAAAGTAAAAAGATTGGAATAGAAAAAAAGAGTTATCATTAAAAAAAAAAAAAATATCTTCTTTAACAAATTTTTCCTTTCCTTCTACTATTTTCCTCTTTCCCTCTCTCTTTCTTTTAATTATTAATGCTAATATAATAATTAAGTACAACAAATCCCTTACAATTATTTTATTAGCATACGCTATCTTTTACTTTATTTAGAATCATTGAAAATAAATTTGAAAAGGAATTGTTTAAAATCATCAATATTTTTAAGTATTTCAATTCTTTCCTTTTTTTTGTTCTAGCAATTTTTCCCCTTCTTTTCTTTCTAATAATTGTTTTCTAATTTTTTTTCTTTCTTCACATTCAATTCTTATAAAATTTTATTTTATACTTCTATTGTTTCCTTAAATTTTGACAAGAAATTTGATTAAGATTTCTTTTTTTTTCCTAATTTTCTTTTTTTCAAATTATTAGCTTTATAAAAAAAGTTAAACCTGTTCCAGTTTTTCTTTTTTTTTTTTTAAAGAAATTAGTTTTAAGAAAATTTTGTTTCTCTTAAAGAAGGAAGTGAAAAAGAAGGAAAGAGAGGAAAAAGAGAAAAATAAAAAAAAAAGATAGAATTTTGATCATTAATTCTTTTTTTAAAAAAAAAAAACATTTAAAACTTAATATTAACTGACATTTATAATTGCAAATGAACATTAAATATTGTATCATTTTTAACCAATTAAAAATTAAAAAATTCCCACTTGTCAATTTCAATTATTAAATTTGTAAATTTGTTTGCTTAAAAAGAAATGAAAAAGCAATTTTATAGAGAAAAAGAAATCACGAAAGCAAAATACACTGAGTAGCTTTTTTGGACGAAGTGATAAGGAAGTAAACATTGATAATTGCTTCAATGATCGACAATCAAATCGATATAATCGACGAGGTTCTGAGACATTTTGTGGTTCAGTTGCAGCATATTCAAATAATTTGAGTACCATTAATACAAGACTGTAATCTTCAAATATTATTTTAAGTACCAAATGATTTTACAGCTTTTACTTCATTTGTTGATTAGAAAAAACAAACCAAAAAAAAAATATTTACAAAAAAAAAAAATTACAAACGTTTGGTATTTTAACTTAGAAACAAGTTTTAACTACTGTTAAATTTTCTTTTTACTTACTCTAATTAAATTTTTACTTATTTTATTAATTTACTTATTCTAATTAAGTTTAATCTTAAATGATATCATAAATAATGCCTTATTCTCTTATCACTGACCATATGTTGAAATATGATAAATGTCATTATCGATGATTTGATTGAAGAATATTGATAAAAATTGATTTTATATGTATAATAAATTTATCTCTGCCTGTTATTATTCGTGATTTAATAATGGCAATTTACATAAATCGATTGAAAAAAAATGTTGAAGTTAATTTGATATTGAATATATCAAATAATATATTCAATATCAAATTCTCTTATCATCATTTTATTACGTAGTTATTTTATAACATTTAATTCTAATTATTTTATAACATTTAATAGAAATGATCTATCAGTTAAAACATATGTTTATAACTAATACAGTTTATTGTCCAAAATGTTAATTAATTACCATCAATAATGACCTTTTTTATATTTATACATATGTGGTACAGTAATTATGGCACTTTACCACTTATGGTACTTTATCATTTATGGTACTTTATCACCTATGGTGCTTTATCATTTATAATACCTTATCACTTATGGCATTTTATATCAGTCACCTATACATAACGCACTAACTATGTATTAATGTCATCCATGATATTACTGATATTTCATATCAGTTCTCCGTCTGAGATATCTGATACTATGGAACTAAGAAATAGCCATGATATCTAATATCAATAAAGCATATCATTCAAAGCATTCAATTACTCACTCCAGTGATCTTTATTCATGATATCACTAATGATATCATATACTGCTCAAAGGGCATTTCGCATTATCATATCGGTCACCTACCTATGATATCACATACCGGTAATTTATACACTGCATTTCATATCAGTCACTTATCAGTAGTGCTGTGTATCAGTAATTTATATACTCCACTTCTACTAGCTACCTATCAGTAATACTACATGTCAGTAAGTTACTTATCAGTGGTACCACTCACCAACCACCATATCACTTAATATCAAAGGAAGCACTGCAACAAAGTCTGATAAGAGGTCATCCCAAATAATAACACCTGAAATGGACGGATGGCACTTTACGGTTAGCTTGTAGATAAGATGTGGGTTTAGATTTTTTTAAATAGATTAAATGAGATTATATCAGGTTAGATTTCTAGGGTAGTGTTGCTTACTTAAATTACGGATATCAGGTTAAATTTCTAGGATAGTGTTACTTAATTAAGCTTAAAATATTATATTTGGAAGTTATTAATCTTTTTGCTATATACCTTTTTTTATTATTTAATATATAAATTTGTAATTGGAAAAATTGCATTACTCCTTTTTCTTTTGAAATATATTTTAATTAAATTGTTCGTCATTCCGTTTTGAATTGTTAATGATAATATTATTATCATTGAATAGATGCAATATATAAGAAAAGCTTTGGGTTGTATGTATGGACAAGTCATCGGTGATTCATTAGGATCGCGATATGAATTTCAATCTGCTTCAATTGTTCAACAAATGATAGCGGAAGATTTGGTAGAATCTTTTCTACCAATTATTGGTGGTGGACCATTTCACCTTCTGCCAGGACAGGTTTCTTTCTTTATCTTATTTCTTCATTATTATCTTTAATATTTTTATTATCATTATCAATAGTATTATTATTATTATTACTTTCATTGTATTACTCTTCACTCATATAACCTCTATAAATTTATTATTACTATTACTATTATTACTTTATATTATTTTACTATTTTATTATTTATGCAGTTTCTATTACACTACTATTAATTTCATTAATTACTATAACTATAGTAATAAAATTGAATTGCTCACTTCCAAATTATCATTTTTCAAAAATTTTTTCCTGAAATGGAAGGAGGAGAAAGAGAAAAAAGTGAAAATTTTTGGGAGAATATTTGAATTATGAAAATATAGCAGACAGTTAATGAAACATTTATAAAATTCTTGTATTTATAAATGACTAATCGATAGTTCTTGTTTTGTTGAAATTTGATGTAATATTAAGTGCTAATGTTAGTTTATTAAATAGTTTGGAATTCGAAAAGACAATTATAAATATGACAAAGAAGCAAAAATCTTGCTAAGAAAAAACTTTAAACCTTGTACAGTTTAATGGAAAAAAAAAGAAAAAAATTAGAAAGTTAAAAATAACATTTTCTAACTCTTAAAATTGGTCAAAAGGATTTCCGGTGACGGATGATTCCGAAATGGCTCTTTCATTGGCTTCTAGCTTAATCCGTTGTGGTAAATTTGATGCTGCTAATGTTGCTTGTAGCTATGTTTCCTGGTGTCAGTCTAAACCACCGGATATCGGAAATGCTACTCGAAATGCACTAACTATTGGTATTTGCATTTGAATACTTGAATTCATTTTGCTATTTAGCTATTATACCGTTAATTGAACCATTAATTAATGATTCATTGATTGAAATTTAAAAGATGATAAGTAATAAAATTGATAATTTTCAAAAATTAAATGAAAATATATGAAATTTCAGAAATGAAATTTTTGGCTGTAAAGTGAATGCTTCTACTATATTATTTTATAGAAATACTTGAAAATTGAAAAATGACATTTTTTGCCATTGTTATAGCTATGAAAACAAAAAAAAAAAAAAAAGCTATGTGATTTACAGGTAAACAATTGTCACCTAATTGGCATCACGAATTGAATGATATCGAGAAAGAAGAAATACATCAAGAAGTATTAAATAATGTGAGGAATTATAATGTTGGCAGTTTAAGTAATGGATGTCTCATGCGAATATCATCTTTAGCTATTTATTCCATTAATGTTTTATCCATGCAGCGGTGATTTTTTTGTCTTTCTGATCTGATTATCATCAATCAATCGATTCTATCCAAGTTAGATATTGACAAAACATATTTCTTTTCGTCAAATATTTGATGGAAAGGCACTCGAGACATAACTGACTTCATAGAAATTTTTATTTTTGGTTTTATGTTTTTCTCGTGAAATGCGAATTTGTAAGAATTTAAATTACTTCTGATGTTAATATATTTTCTAAATTTTTTTAATATTTTAATATCTGAAGTTATAAATTAATTATTGGAAATTCAAGAAATTATAGGAATAATTCTTTGTTAACAATTTATTTCTTCAATAATTTTTATTCCTTGACGTTTGTGGAAAGTAAAATTTATTGAAATTTAGTATAGAAGAAATGGTTCGTGCAGATTGTTCACTTACACATTGTGAAGAAGACGCTAAACAAGCTGTATTTTCATACGTTATAGCGATGCGACATTTGCTTATTGGAAAGAGTAATAAGGTTATTTTACTGATACTTTATTAGAAAATCATGAATCCTGAAGCATTTCTTGAAATGTGAGATGTTGGAAATGGTACCATGAATATAAATAAATTGAAATAAATAAAGAAACTAATTAATCAAATAAATTGATAAGTTATTTAATTAAATAGATAAGCGAATATAAATACGTATGTATGTTATGAATTTACTGATAAATAATAAAAATGCTTCGTCAAATATTGTCATTTTTTTCATACATTAGTCGCAATTATTTGCATATGATGAAATACGTTGCTAATGGTAAAGTTTAGAATATGAAAATTTTTGCGAAAATGTTTGTTAATTAACCTGGATTGCTTAAATTGCAAAGTCCATTTAATTGCTACTTCAAATATTTGCATATTTAATACGCTAGCTTCACTTGAGAAGTATACATTGGCTTAATCCTTTCCGATTAAAAAAATTCTTTTAACAATTAAATGAGATTTTTATTTCAGTAATAAATTACTATTTGATAATAATGAGAAAAATGAAATTTCCTCGTCATTAAAGTGGACAACTTTCTTAGAAAGATGAAAATCGATGTAATTTGCGTTTATATTTAAGTATTTTGTTGTATCTGATGCAAAAATTTCAAAATGATTTTATATAGGAAGCATTTGAAATAGCATTAAATGCTACTCAAAGTATGCGTATTCGTGAACACTTGTTAGCAGCTCAAGAAAAACCTGTACCTGTAAATATTGGAAATCAATTTGTGAATGGTGACGAGAAAGCAATAGGATACATTGGGGTAGCACTACAGGTTTACTTTTGTTTACTTTATAAGGAACTCTTTGATGCTCGTAAAATTATGTAGCGTATAAATTTTTAATTGGGATTGTAAGAATGATAGTTATAAATTAAGATCAAAAGGAAAAATGTTCAAATTAAGATCAAAAGACAAAAGAAAAGATGTTCCAGAGTGCTTTTTATGAACTTCTTCATGGCACATCGTTTACGAAGTCAGTAATTGACGCAATATCACGTGGAGGTGATACTGATACAAATGCTGCTATCGTTGGAGCCTTAATTGGTAAGAGTTTCCTTTTTTTGTCCTTTGTTTTTTATAAATTTTATAAATTCAGCTTTTATTTCTTATTAGATGAGCAGCAATATAGAGTAAAAATTGAGCAAGTTAGAATGATATTATATTATGTGTCAGTTTGCTGCTTGGAAAACAGTAAATTATTGCTATTTAATTATTTATAACTAATTTTTTACTTAATAATTCTTTATTATCTTATTTGGTTACATTGGCGAATATGGAAATTCGGCTAATCTGTGACTTGCACTTTTTTCTTAAAATACTGAAATACTGCATTGTTTTAAAGCAGTACTAAATAATCATTGCTTTTTCTTTTATTTGAATTTTTTGAAGTTTTCCAGGTGCACGATTTGGTATTGACGAAATTCCAGAGCAGTGGATTAAAACAGTTAGAGAAACTAAACCACGAGTTAATTTAACTACCATTGATTATAATGTTGAACAAATTGTCAATAAATTACTAATGTTGAATTAATTATTCTGTAATTTTCTCTCTTCTTACCCTTTTTTTAAAGGATTTATATTTGTTTATATTTATTTATTTATTAATATTTTGTTGTGCAAACATGACACTTTTTATCACGTTTTTATTTTATAATTATAATATTATTAATTACAATACTGCTTGTAATATTATTATATACTATTTATAATATTAATTGGAATACCAATACTATTATTTTATTTTAGGAAATTCTTTGCATTAAAAAGATTTTGAATGATTGTGAGAAGGAATAATGTAATAATTGCATATTTTAAAAATCATCCTAGTATAGGTATTGGTTAACTGATAATTTTTTAACTTTATTTATTTGTTTATTTTTTTTTGCTGAACTTTAAATAAAAAATCCTTTGCAAGCTATTATGTTACATGGCAGTAATAGAAATTGTCTTCAACTAATTTACTAAAGCTAGTTATTTTTTATTTTTTTTTTTTGCTCTAGATTTATCAGGCAATATTATTTTATATTATTACGAATTACTCTTAATAATATAAATTAATTAATTACTAATTATTATTTGGAAAATGAAAAATAGATGAAAAGGGGAGAAATTTTTTATATAACACTCTATCTGTTAGATAAATGTTATATTAATGACTACAGTTTATATATTTCTATTGTTTTTCTATTAATTGTAATTAAGTAATCTTTCGCACTTTAATTAATGTTTTGTTATTAAAGCCAAGTGTAGGACGAAAAAAAAAGGAAAATAATAATGAAAGAAATTTAATGACTATTATTTATTGTGTTATTATTATTTTTGTAATTAAGAATTTTTTAAATTTGGTCTATGTTACACTTTTTAATTTTTGTGATGTTTACATTTATTTTCATTAAATGTTGTTTAACATCATGGTAATATGTAATTCTTGATCTACTAAATATATGAGAGAGAAAATGTCCTTCATACAAGAAATCTGTTTAAGAAAAAGAAAAAAAAATGTTAAAGAAATAAATTTAACAAGTGCTTTTATTGACGCAAAAGGATCTTATCAATTTAATCAGTTATTTTGTCATTTTAGCAATTTTAATCAGTTCTCTCATCTTACAAATTACAAATATAGTATTCTTCTAGTGTCTAAGAATTTTTAAATTAAAATTTTCTATAATCTGAAGGCAGAACTGATGAATGCATACTTCGAATTCGAATATTGCTAACAGTAAATGGACGATTGGGATTTAATTTTAATGCAAAATTTTATTTTATTAAAGTTATGTTAGACTAGAGCGGTTTGTTGAATAATGAAGTGATAATTATCACTCCTTTATGTTTTCTTAATTAATTAGTTCTACTTATCAATGATTATCAATGATATGTTATCAGTGGCCGTTGTATGTGTATGCTATGATATACTATAAAAATACATTCGAGTAATACTTAAAAATTATAATATAATCAGATAAATTTGCTAAACATACGTTAATAGTTTAATGAAGATTATCTTATAATTATTAAACTTTATGAGTTTCCTCTTTTTTTCTTTTTGTCAAAATTACAAAATTAAATTATAAATGTTTTTGTTGATTGAAGTTTATCTTTGAATTTAAAATTGATTAGATTCATTTCATCAATATTTTATTTGCGCTAATCTAAAAAGTCTTTTTTGTTAAATGAAAATGTTATTGACCAATTATTGAGCGGCAGAAAAAAAAAACAAATTAAATTTTTGGGTTAATTTTAGTGTAAATCGATTTCAAAAGGACATTTTAGGGCAAAAATGGTTATTGATTAACAGAGCAGTTTTTATACAGAAATTTAAAAAATTTATGATAATAGTTGAAAAAGAGAAAAATTTATTTCATTTAGTAAAATTGCCAAATTTTACATTTGAATAAAAATTTCCTCTAAATTGTCACTTTATTTCATAAATAAAATTAGATTTGCTTTATACATAAATAGCAAAAGTTATCGTTGACATTCATTACCATTTTTATTTTGTCGGCTAAATTAAACAACAAATTGTACATTTATATGATTTATAATTTACAATTTATTTATTTAAAATCTTTCTTTTTTCTCCTCCTTACTTTTTCTTTTTCTTTTGATATTATTTTTGATATTATTATTATCATGAAAAAATAACTTAAAGAATAATTATTAAAGTTTAGAAGAAATATGCAATAGTTTAATAAATCGCTTCTTTTTTTCTTTTTTTTAAGTTTTTTTAATTAGTAAAATTTTATACAATTTGCTCAACTTTTGTGTTTTATTTTGTTTTCTTCTTCACTTTATACCTTATTTTTTTCATCAATTTTCATATCTTTTACAATTTATGTTATCTTAAAGAGTGAAATTTTTTTTAATATTTTGTAAATTCAAAAATATTAAATATTATTTTTATGATATATTAATAATGAAATTGTGAGAAAAAAATTGATTCGTATTGATTCTATTCTTTTCGCAGTGAATTATTTAAGGAATCTTGAAATGAAGAATGAGATAGGTGCGAATCCGGCGGTGCAGAATTATGTAGATAAGAAATGGAGGCTGAGGAGAATCATAAAATTTGGGAATCATGTCATCTAGAATCATGTAAGGAAGGAATTATGTCATCTAGAGTCATGTAAGGAGGGAATTATGTCATCTAGAGTCATGTAAGGAGGGAATCATGTCATCTAGAATCATGTAAGGAAGGAATTATGTCGTCTAGAGTCATGTAAGGAAGGAATTATGTCATCTAGAGTCATGTAAGGAGGGAATCATGTCATCTAGAATCATGTAAGGAAGGAATTATGTCATCCAGAGTCATGTAAGGAAGGAATTATGTCATCTAGAATCATGTAAGGAAGGAATCATGTCATCTAGAGTCATGTAAGGAGGGAATCATGTCATCTAGAGTCATGTAAGGAAGGAATTATGTCATCTAGAGTCATGTAAGGAAGGAATTATGTCATCTAGAGTCATGTAAGGAAGGAATTATGTCATCTAGAATCATGTAAGGAAGGAATTATGTCATCTAGAGTCATGTAAGGAAGGAATTATGTCATCTAGAGTCATGTAAGGAAGGAATTATGTCATCTAGAATCATGTAAGGAAGGAATTATGTCATCTAGAGTCATGTAAGGAAGGAATTATGTCATCTAGAGTCATGTAAGGAAGGAATTATGTCATCTAGAGTCATGTAAGGAAGGAATTATGTCATCTAGAATCATGTAAGGAAGGAATTATGTCATCTAGAGTCATGTAAGGAAGGAATTATGTCATCTAGAGTCATGTAAGGAAGGAATTATGTCATCTAGAGTCATGTAAGGAAGGAATTATGTCATCTAGAATCATGTAAGGAAGGAATTATGTCATCTAGAGTCATGTAAGGAAGGAATTATGTCATCTAGAGTCATGTAAGGAAGGAATTATGTCATCTAGAATCATGTAAGGAAGGAATTATGTCATCTAGAGTCATGTAAGGAAGGAATTATGTCATCTAGAGTCATGTAAGGAAGGAATTATGTCATCTAGAGTCATGTAAGGAAGGAATTATGTCATCTAGAGTCATGTAAGGAAGGAATTATGTCATCTAGAGTCATGTAAGGAAGGAATTATGTCATCTAGAGTCATGTAAGGAAGGAATTATGTCATCTAGAATCATGTAAGGAAGGAATTATGTCATCTAGAGTCATGTAAGGAAGGAATTATGTCATCTAGAGTCATGTAAGGAAGGAATTATGTCATCTAGAATCATGTAAGGAAGGAATTATGTCATCTAGAGTCATGTAAGGAAGGAATTATGTCATCTAGAGTCATGTAAGGAAGGAATTATGTCATCTAGAGTCATGTAAGGAAGGAATTATGTCATCTAGAGTCATGTAAGGAAGGAATTATGTCATCTAGAGTCATGTAAGGAAGGAATTATGTCATCTAGAGTCATGTAAGGAAGGAATTATGTCATCTAGAGTCATGTAAGGAAGGAATTATGTCATCTAGAATCATGTAAGGAAGGAATTATGTCATCTAGAGTCATGTAAGGAAGGAATTATGTCATCTAGAGTCATGTAAGGAAGGAATTATGTCATCTAGAGTCATGTAAGGAAGGAATTATGTCATCTAGAGTCATGTAAGGAAGGAATTATGTCATCTAGAATCATGTAAGGAAGGAATTATGTCATCTAGAGTCATGTAAGGAAGGAATTATGTCATCTAGAGTCATGTAAGGAAGGAATTATGTCATCTAGAATCATGTAAGGAAGGAATTATGTCATCTAGAGTCATGTAAGGAAGGAATTATGTCATCTAGAGTCATGTAAGGAAGGAATTATGTCATCTAGAGTCATGTAAGGAAGGAATTATGTCATCTAGAATCATGTAAGGAAGGAATTATGTCATCTAGAGTCATGTAAGGAAGGAATTATGTCATCTAGAGTCATGTAAGGAAGGAATTATGTCATCTAGAATCATGTAAGGAAGGAATTATGTCATCTAGAGTCATGTAAGGAGGGAATCATGTCATCTAGAATCATGTAAGGAAGGAATTATGTCATCCAGAGTCATGTAAGGAAGGAATTATGTCATCTAGAGTCATGTAAGGAGGGAATCATGTCATCTAGAGTCATGTAAGGAAGGAATTATGTCATCTAGAGTCATGTAAGGAAGGAATTATGTCATCTAGAGTCATGTAAGGAAGGAATTATGTCATCTAGAGTCATGTAAGGAAGGAATTATGTCATCTAGAGTCATGTAAGGAAGGAATTATGTCATCTAGAATCATGTAAGGAAGGAATTATGTCATCTAGAGTCATGTAAGGAAGGAATTATGTCATCTAGAATCATGTAAGGAAGGAATTATGTCATCTAGAATCATGTAAGGAAGGAATTATGTCATCTAGAATCATGTAAGGAAGGAATTATGTCATCTAGAATCATGTAAGGAAGGAATTATGTCATCTAGAGTCATGTAAGGAGGGAATCATGTCATCTAGAGTCATGTAAGGAGGGAATCATGTCATCTAGAGTCATGTAAGGAAGGAATTATGTCAT